CGTCTCTCGGGGGGGGGGGCAGAGACAGGGCAGCTCTGCAGCCTTGATTAGGCTCTGGGAAGGGACAGGAGGGAGGTTGTTACGACTGAGATTGCAGTCCCTCTTGAAGCGGTCACTCAGCTTTTTGTATGCAGAGGACAGGACTGCTTATAACTGCATGAGAACGGGGTGGGACTGCCCGTACGCGGTGGTTTGTGAAACCCTTGGGGCACTGAACATGGCTGCGGTAATGCAGACCGAGCCCTGCAGGCAGAAGGGTGGGGAATGACCGAGACAGCCAGCTGCATGTCCCAGTGCTGTGTGTGACAGGTTCTTCTCTTCTCAGGTGAGCCCTCTGCTGAGGGAAGGAACACTGTGCTCCCAGGCCAGGGAACATGTCCCGTCGGAAACAGACCACTCCTAACAAAGTTCACTGTGAGTATTGTGTTAACGGCATTGTGGGATCCTTGCCCTAGCTGGTTTGTGGTGGAGTGAGGTGGGGAGGAGGGGAGTGATGAAAGGTACAGTCTGTGGGGGAATGGTGGTTACTGACATTTCATCTTAGGGACTGTAAGAAGAGAAACTGAGCTCTGTGCATCAGGGGAGCTGTCAGTGTCCTGGCAGGGCAGGACAGGGATAGGCTTGAACAAACAGCTAATGCTATAAAGGTGGGTGCGTGTGTGCAGGGCCTGTAGCTGTGCTTTGCATTCACACTGTCACAAGTGCAGTAATGTACTAAGAAATGTGACTTTGGGGCTTTGGCCCATCTTGGGTAGCAAAGGAAGTTTTAGGCGAGGTGGTTTGAGTGTGTGGCTGAAGCCAGGAAGTGCTGGGTTCTGATCTTTGCTCTACCACAGACTCAACTGGCTGGCCTTGGACATGTCACTTAAGCTCACTGTACCTCGGTTTCCTACCAGATAATGTAAATAAAGCCATTTGCTCTTTCCTTGCAGGGAATGGGCAGTGGCTAATAATCTACTGGACAGATAAATGCTATCTGTCAGATCATGCTTGAGCTGAGCTGATGGGCCACATCTGTTTCTCCAGCACTCTGAATACCCTGGCGTTTGCTTGATAGTGAAAGGGCTGAAGGTGCTGCACATCAGCACTTCTTGTGGGCAGGCTACAGGCAGGTGTCAGTGGAGCTGGGAGGGACGTACGGATGTTTGGCTGCAAAGGGGAAACTGCACATACACGTCTTTTGTGTGACTGACTGCAGCAGAGGGGAGCTGGGGGGCTGAAGCTATGCCCTTGCTCGTACCCAGGTTTGTGGCTGGAGACACGTTTGGAATTTGGGCTGGAATGAGGAAAACACTTTTCCACTCCTGTAGGTGTGTGAAAGCAAGGCTGATAAGAGGGCCCTGGGTATTGCTAAGATGTAGTAGCTGTCAGGAGTATGGGACAGAGAGCTGAATGCTGCAGCCCTAACACTGCCTCGCTTTGCTGATGCTGCTGGCTCGCATGTCTCTGTGTTTCTCTGTGCTGCCTTTTTGTACGGGTACGACAGCAGGAGTCTCTGCATGCTGTTCTTTGTACTAGGGGAAAATACACCGTGATCGAGCCTAACACTGCACAGTCAGTGATTGTGCTGGGGAGAGCTACCTCTGTCCAGGACTTGAACGTTGGCTGCTAGAGCTAGGCATGGGAGAACTGACAGAGCTTTCCTTGGTGGCCAGCGTAGGAGTCCTGAGACTACTTTTGTCATCTGCACTGACTTGTGCTCTCCGATTCCTGCTTCTGAGTGCTGGGTTCAACAGTGGGCAGAGTATAGCTTTGATATGCCTGATAGTACATTGATGACTTTGGAGTTGTCTTCCTTAGAGACATTTGGTATGTCCTGTGTATGCCAGTGTATCACCATCCTGTGATGGCAGTAACACATCTTGTGTCCATTCACTTTAGCTCCAGAGTGCTGAGGCATTGCTGCTGCCATTTAGAGGCAGCACTTAATGCTCTCTCCTCTCTCATGTGTGGAAATCGAGGGGTACGACAGCTCTGGTGGTGCAGGTAGAGTTTCCATGGTGTTTAGGTGGGCTCTTTTCCACACTCCACTGTGTAAGGGTTATCTTCTTCAGAAGCTTGTACTGTTCTATACAAAAGTATACATATTATGGAGTTCAGTTCTGCACTATTTTCACAGTGAACATTGATTCTTATCTGCAGTACAAGTGTTTGTATCTCCAGTTTTGGTCTCAGGGGAAGCTATCAGACAAACATGCTACCAGTGGGCATGAGGTTGAGGTTATGGCATCTGGTGTGCCACAGAGAGGAGTTCTGGGACCTGTTCACCTCCTTTACGTGCAGTACATTGCTACAGAGCAACTGTCCAACAGGAGCCATCAGGAGCAGCAAGTAGGACCACAAGAAAAGGAAGGGACCGAAAGATACAAGGAACATGTCAATGGTGATGTCTCCACCTTGGGATGGAAAATCTTGTCTGTCTTATGATGAACACCACCAAACCATTGGGACTTCTCTGCCTTCCTAGCCTGCTGTGTATCTGGAGGGCCCAGAAATGCCATGCAGTGCACTGACGAGGATAATCGGAGAGAGCATCAGCTCCAAGAACTGGGTGAGCCAGCAGAATGAGGAGTCAGGCTGAGACATAGCAGACATGTTACTGAGACTTCTTCACAGGGACTGAAGTGGTTGGGAGGAGAGGAATGAAAGGGCCAGCAGGTATGCAGCTTTTTACTCAGTTGTCTGCAGCTGGGGTCTGATTTGGCAGGCTGCGGGGCTGGGGAAGTGCTTTCTGGATTTGCATAAATGCCACTTGAATACCTAACTGGACACGTTTGTGGGAGGATGGTGCCTTCTTCCTTGCATGGCCACTCCATGTTTTCTTCTTTCTTGGACTCACATGGGCAAGCGACAGCTGCTGATCTCCTCTCCCTGGCTTGCTTGGTGCCACCTCTTTCCTGGGTTACTTTCCAGGCTTGGCATGGCCCTCATTTAACCTTGCTCTCACAACAACATGGTTTGCTGTCCTCACTGAGCACACAGTCACTTTGTTTGGCATGCAGAGCGACCGTCTGGGAAGCTGCGTGGTTACAAGTCAACTTCCATTTAAAACTGTTTTGACATATAAGGAAATTCAAAATAATACAGAAACAATGATAAAAATTACTACTATCGGAGAAGTCTGATTGTGTATGATAGCCAGTCCTACAGCTTTAATTGTAGTCATTTCCCCTTTGGCAGGGCTGCAAATAATTGGTTCTTAATAATTTAATTTTGATTTGCCACATGGGGCGTGGAAAACACTTATACCTGACAAAGTGGTAACAAAACTAATACTGGAGGATAGTTATTGCATTGCCCATCCCACACTGAACTGAAAAATATAACACAGTTCCATTGTTCCTGCGGAGATATCTTAATTGGTTCAATTTGGTCTTCACTTTCTCCCAGAGTCTAAAGTGTAATAACATAAAATCTCTCTCAGCAATTCACCTGATCTTGCATTCAAGCCCACCAGTTGCCACACTGTCTCTCCATCAGTTATGGGCTACTCACTGTTCTTGTGCTTGCCAAAAATTTGCTGCAGATGTTGCCACATGCTTTTATTTTCTCTCCTTGCTGTCCCATGAGCTGCTTTTCTTGCTATTGCTTGTACCCTTTGCAAGTGATGCTTGTTTTAGAACCTTGAGAACAGCTTTTGTTAGTCAAATTAATTCCCACTTGTAGCTCTATCTGTCATGGGCCCAATATCCTATTAATCCTCTATTTCCTCTCTTCTCCTCTGACACACACATATTCTCTGCTCTTCAGTGTTCCTTGAATTCTGCTGTCTATAATATTCCCAGTTTGAAGAGAAAGTATCTTGCAAGAAATAGTACCCAGCATTCAAAACCAAGCAGAAACGTTACTTGCATCAAAATCCTTGGTTCTTAAAGGGCTCTGTGGGCTGCTGTTGTTAACTCTTAAAATTGTGTTGTTTTTCATTTCAGTAACCACTACAGCAGTGTGGACAACCCAGAATAGCGATGGGGCAGGTGGACTAGATCCACAGTGGTGCAAAGACTTGCAAATTTCAGGTCCAGGAAAGGAACACAGAGAAGACCTACATGAACAGGGACTTTAAATTGATGTGCAAGGAGGGAATAAAGTGGCTCATCTCTGAGAGACCTTTCTGTTTAGGAAGGAAGACAGGGGATCGATGCAGTTTCTTTTGATTTTGTTTTGTGGATTTTGGGATGGGGGTTGTTTGTTTGTGTGTTTATTTTCCAGAACACCTGAGAGTTATCCTGCATTCATACAGTTCAAGAAGGGAAGGGCTCAGAAAAAAAATCATTTCTGGCTACCAAGTTGATACACCACCAGATCCTAGCAGTCATAACTGCCCCTGTTACACAGTGCCACAGGGCTGGCCCCTACCTCCACCACTGCTCACCTGCATCCCACCCATTGGCAGGATTATGGAGAGGAGAACTGGAATGCAAAGCAGAGGCATTTGTATGATCTCTCACTGTCCTGCGTCTAGCTGTTTGTAAAGCAAATACAGTGACTTGTTTTGGTGTTGTGGTCAGCCTGCAGCCCTTTTTGTATTTAATAAAGAAACTTCTGGAGAAGAGTCTCTGAATTGACTGTTGAGCATAACATCCTTTACTGACAGCAGTGATCCTAAAGCTGTTGCCTGTCTTACTCTCTTTCCAAATGAATGGAAGTGTAATCAAAGCGGGGTGGAGGTGGGGTGTAAGTGTCTGTATGTGAGCGTGTGTGTGCAGAAACTATAATAAATGTGTAACGCTGTACCTATCCAACATTAAAGCTCTAAAGCTTCATCAAAGTAGGACTTAATCCATCAGTAGATGAACAGGACACTCTTCCCTAAGTTCTTTTGGAGGCAATACTAGTATAATACATAAGAAATTCTGTATGAGCTAAAGATAGCGTTTTCACTCGTTTGTCTCTCCCACTCCTATGATGCTTTTTTAGATCCAGGCTAGTGGAGAATGCACAAGATGTCACCGGCTCACAGCACCGGTTTGGGTAACGGCTCGCGTTTCTGCCTGGAAGCTGGTAGTTCTCTGCACTGCGCTGGACCAGTGCTGACTTGGTTACGGGTGTGTTGTACAGAAGGGCCCCCGGCAGACATGGTTGCGCGCTTAGGTGTTGTGATTGATGCTGGTGTTGCTGCCAGGAGGAGCTCATCCACCTCCAGTCACCTCATGTAAAGATCACTGCTTTTAAAATCCTGCAGGCTGTCTGCATAGTCTGTATGTCTGATCAGGAACCTACCTGCCCTTAGACTCCAGGCTGCTGCTCAGTGGAAACATGAAGCCTCTGGAGAGGCAGAGGGGGCAGCAAACAAACAGATAACTGCTTCCAGCAGCAGCTGCAGTGGCATTTGGGAATCCTGTCACGGGTGGCACATCTTCTGCCATAGTTTTACATCTGTCCTGTGCTCCGCAGGTTTTGCCACCATACTTTGTCTTGCAATACCTTTTTGTCTCCGGGCTTTTATCCTGGTGGTTTGTGGATATTGCTTCTTGGAGGGGCACTAACTCTGTCATGTCTGCTGCTCGTACAGTCTATCAGTCCCACCAACGGGAGGTTGTGGTCCAGACATAAAAGCAGCACTCAGGTTTTGAAAAACTATTCAATGCTGGATTGGCTTCTGATGGGGTACACGTGTCAGCAGTCACGATGGTACCTGCTGCTTTCAGTGACAAACAGACTTAGGGTGCTGCCCAGCACCTCTCTTCAGCCCGCATGGATTGTGTTCTCAAGTCTTCTTTACAGAAACCTCTTTCACGTTTCTGAAACAGGATGCTAAATGCCTTCAAATGCTTTTGGAAACCTCCACAGGGATGTTGGGAACTAAAACTCTTCTCCCACAGCCTCTGTGAAACTTCTGAAGGTCTTTGAAATCTTCCATAAATTACTGCTTTTTAAAGCACTGCTGGAAGTTGCGAGGTAAGCACCAGAAAGGCAGTGTGAGTATGAGTATGGGGCAAAGCTGGCGGAAAAACTTCAGCATGTGGGAACATACCTGTCCTTGTAACAGGACTGGTGATCTCCCAATGGGTCAAGTATTCAGTTCCCTGGTTATACTGATGCCAGTTATGGCCCTATGCTAAAATGTACAATTTTCTTCTGAAAGCTATGTTTTGACTTTTGTTTTATGTGAAAAATGCACTGTAACTTCCTTAGCATTTTTGCATTTGAGTGGTTCTTGAGAACTTACAGATCAGTTGATAAATTTAATCCAAAAGCTAGCCCACTGGGAACTCCAGCACCTTGTCCCACGCACTCCCAGCTCATCCACTGAGAGAGGTAAATCATGACTACACCTGGAACAAAGTCATTTGTTTGATTTAATATGAAAAATAATGGTTGCCTTTTATTGTTACTCTTTGGAACCAAAAGTTCTCCCTAGCAGGGACTGCCATAAAAAGTTTTCTTTCAGAGAAGCACAAATAATTGCCTTCTTTCAATGTGTTTGCCATCTCCTACTGAGTTGAGGTACTAGTGAGCAGTGTCTTTCAACAAAACAGGCTGTAAGCTATCCTAAACAAGGATATCAGCTTTCCGGGTTCATTCCCTTACTTTTCTGTTTGAGCACCACTCTTGGGCAAGGCGAGGTAGTGAAGCAAGTCATCCATGGTGTAAGCAGAACACCAGCTCTGAGCACAAACACCTCTGGAGGGGCGGCTCAGTCCTTCTGGGGCAGAAGGTGGTGACAGAGCATGCCAAGGACAAGCCCTGGCTTTAGTACCACTGTGGAGGAAGTGCAGGCACTGAGGAAGATGCCATTTTTGTGCAAGTTGCCTGTCACAGCAAGGAGTAGGGCTTAATTCTTTAGAAGACCCACAGAGCAGTGTGCCTGCTCTGGGATACTGTCACAGTGCCTGAGCAGCTTCCCCCTGGCTCAGGGGTGGATAGCCTGTAGCAGAGAAAGCCACCCAGCTACATACAGTGGATATATGGGATCTCACAGGGTTTTTCGTGGCTGGAGTGGCATATAAAGGGTCTGCAGAGAGCAGCCTGATGCTGGATGTTTCCACTAGCAAGATTGTTTTACACACAGGGGCTGGACTCACATCAGCAGGTACAAGAGGCTGGTGTTGCATAGTAGGCAAGCGGAGAGGTTACTTAAATGATTTCTGAGAGGTGCCTTCAGAGGTTCTGCACAGTGCAGGTGAGCAGCCCCACCCTGGGGTGTCTGGGGCAAGCCTTGGTGGTGAAAGCGATGGAACGGCACCAGTCTGACTCTTTGTCCTTGTGACTGCCAGGGGAGCAAGTCTTTGCAGGGCTGGAGGAGCAAGCCCGCCAAGCCATGATGAAAAACAACTTTCCTGAAGCTCTTGGGGACCAAAGGCCACCTGTTCATCCGCTGCAAGACCCCGACTCCAGCAGCAGTGAGTTCTGCCCCTTCCAGTAATGGTGAGGTAGTGACTCTGACATGGGGCGAGGCCAGGTGCTGCACAGCTTGGGGGGCCCTCTGAGGACACCTCACCCACCCCCCTGTGCTGGACTGGGCCAGCAAACAGCAAGATCAGGGCTGTTCCCTGAGGGAAGGGCAGCCCGGAGCCAAGGGCCACCCCAACAGAGCGGGCAGTGCCCTCACCCCTGGGACGCAGCCCCAGTTTACCAGAGCAGGCTGGCAGCAGCAGCAGGTCCAGCTGACAGTCCAGTGATTGCCAGGCAAGGCAGGGCAGCAGGCCAGGTTCAGGGGCTCTGCAGAGCCCCAGCCTGCGTTTAAACAGAGCCCCTGGTCAGAGGGGGTGGGTAGAGGCCCCAGGAGGTGCTGGTGGGGACAGTTAAGGCCTGTGAGTGCCCGTAGGGTCCTGGCTCGGAATAACTGTTCTGCATGTTCCAGGTGGCAGTGATGATGAGGAAACCACCCAGGATGAAGTTTCGTCCCATACGTCTGAGGAGGATGGCTCAATGGTAAAAGTGAAGAAAGAATTAGAGAATGCAGAGCAACCTGTGGCTGGAACCCCACTGATGAGAGAAAATGAGGCAAGTGTGTACTGGCTCTGCACTCACCTGAGCCTCCCAGGGAGAGAGAAGGGTACTGTCTGAACACCTCTCCCCATCATAGTTTCTTGTCTTTCGCTCCCTCCTGCCTCCTCCAAACAATGTCTCCTGTCAGGAGGGAAGGGAATGAGTCACTCCTGGGCTGCCAGGAACAGGAGACAGCCAGCACCAGCTGCCATTCTCCTGGTTAACCAAGATGACTGTGTGCCCCTTCCTTAGGTTCTGGTGCCTTTCTCTGACTGACTTCCCTGTCCCTTCTGCTACAGAGCTGGCCTTGCCCACCAGAGCCCTGCACTAGCAAGAGCCGGGTGTGAGTGGAGGCTGTGGGGCCTCTGCCTGCTCTCCCTGAGACAGCAGGAGTTCTGTTCAGAGGCTCATCAGGGAAGCTTCTGACTGCAGGGACACAAAGCAGCACCAGCAGGACTGGGCACATGGGCTCGATCTGGCCAAGGCCTGCCTGCAGCGTGGGTCGACCCTCGGGGAGGGGGGCTGGCTGCGGGGATCTGTCTGCCCTACCACAAAGTGGCTTCTCCTCCCTATAGGTGCATGAGAGCCTGAACGCTGACCCCATGCTGGGACTGTCCCAGTGCCCCCTCTGCCAGCTGGAGTGTGGAGGCAGGGAGCAGCTCATTGCTCACGTGTACCAGGTAGGGGATGGCTCCGAACGGCGGGCTGTCTCTGGGCCTAAGCCCAAATCCAGGAACAGCTCAGAGCACAGGGCGGCTTTGCTCTGGCCTTTGCAGTCATAGAACTGAGCTCCTAGCTAGGATGTGACTGAAGTTTACAGCAGTAAACTGTGTCCAGAGGGTGTCCTGGGGAAAGAATCAGCAAGGCACCAGTCTGCAGCTCTGGAAAACACACTCTCTCCCAAGGCAGCCTCTGCAAGCAGTTGCAGGCTGACCAGAGCGTTCCTTCAGATTAAACGTGGAAGCAATTTTTACATCATTCAGTGAGATAAGAAACCTTCCTCCTAATCATTCAGTTCTTAATTTTGTACCTTTATCACAGTTCCTACCCCTGAAAACAGCTGTTCTTACTCTGAAATGCTTCCAGTATTGCAGGAGATCTGTGCTGGAATCTCACAGGTTTTGTTGTCAGTGCTGTCTTCACGGCACATCAAAGTCTGTGAAAGAAGGAATGAAGCAGAACTGAATAGGCCGCATACCTGCACCAGCTGACTCTCTTCATGTAAGCGCTTCCTCACCAGCATCCTGCCTACTCTTAGTCCAGTCATGCTTTGTCCAGCAACAGCAGCTCCTCAGATGCATTTCTGAAAACAAGGGACAGGTCTTATGATCCAAGTGTTTTGGCCTTAATTGTTTTTCTTGCACTGGAGTGGGGCTGTAGAAAGGTTTCCTCCTTGCTGTTTGACCCGTGACACCCCAAATGTCTTGAGCTTGGTCTAGCAGCTCTCAGACAGAGGTTTAGTGGTAAAGTGTTCCCTCTCCAAGAGGCTGAACTGAATGGTTTGCCGTTGCGTGTGCCTCGGACTGGGCAGGGAACACGGCCATTTGCAGCTGACAGCCACGGGGTTGTTTTGCAGCACACTGCGGCTGTGGTGAGTGCCAAGAGCTACATGTGTCCTGTCTGCGGCAGAGCCCTCAGCTCACCAGGATCCCTGGGGCGACATCTCCTGATCCACTCAGAGGACCAGCTGTCAAACTGCGCAGTGTGTGGAGCACGCTTCACCAGCCACGCCACATTCCACAGGTCAGGGTCGCCCTGGCGAGTGGGCTGGGGTACCCACACCAAAGGCGAGGTGGGCTGCCTTAAGTGACCGGTCATAGCTCTGGGCTCACTAAGGCCCATAGGAGAGTTTTGAACACCCCAGTGAGTGAGATTCCCTCGATCCCTGCCTGCCTGCAGCTCTGCGTCACCTGCTAAGACCTTGTGGGATGTGCTCCTGGAAGGGTGTTCCTTAGCTTTGTGGAGAACTGTGCAGAAAGGACTGGGGTCCCCAGTCACTGGAGAACAATTTGGGCTTCCCTTGCCCAGCACTCCATCAGAAAAGGTCTGTGCTGCCCACATGGGTTCATCATTTCCACAGCAGGACCACAGGCAGAAACCAAAATGTTTCTTGTTTGTGTCCTGCCGGGTGGAAGATTATCCACCAACCAGTGGAACGGGGCTGAAAGGAGATATCCAGACATGGTGGGGAGGAGCAGCTTGCTGGCTATTTCCTGCTCTTGCCCTCTTCCAACCCTAGATACTGCTCTGGGCCAACCCTCTTCGTACCCCCGGGCACGACGCTGCTTCATTTTAGATACTCAGACACATGTGCGGGCAGGAATGGTTTAGCAGAGGCCTCTGCCAGGGGCTGCAGCAGGGGCACTGTTCATGCAGCCCCCGGGCGGGCTGAGATGGGGACTCTTCTGTCAGCACCACCTCTCTGACTCTCTGCTCTTTCTGCTTTCCAGTGAGAAGCTGCCCGAGGTGCTCAGTGCAGATCGCCTGCCGGCACCGCAGAGCGAGGGCCCCTCCGGTGTCGAGGGGAAAGACATTGCCTTTCACACCCCTGTGTATCCTGCAGGCATCCTCCTAGTGTGCAACAACTGTGCTGCTTATCGTAAGCTGCTGGAGGCGCAGACGCCCGGCATGCGGAAGTGGGCGCTTCGTCGGCAGAACGAGCCCTTGGAGGTGCGGCTGCAGCGGCTGGAGCGGGAGCGCACGGCCAAGAAGAGCCGGCGGGACAACGAGACGCCCGAGGAGCGGGAAGTGCGGCGCATGCGGGACCGAGAGGCGAAGCGCCTGCAGCGCATGCAGGAGACAGATGAGCAGCGGGCACGGCGGCTGCAGAGAGACCGGGAAGCCATGCGACTGAAACGTGCCAACGAGACCCCGGAGAAGCGACAGGCCCGGCTTATCCGGGAGCGTGAGGCCAAGAGGCTCAAGCGGCGCCTGGAGAAAATGGACATGATGCTCCGGGCGCAGTTTGGGCAGGACCCCTCTGCCATGGCCGCTTTGGCAGCGGAAATGAACTTCTTCCAGCTGCCAGTGAGCAATGTGGAGCTGGAGAGCCAGCTGCTGGGCAAAATGACCTTTGAGGAGCAGAGCAACAGCGCGCTGCATTAGCTGCAGCCAAGGACTGTGCCACCTCTGCGGCACCTGCCACAGGCGCCTGGCAGGCTTCTACACTCGGGAGGCTGCTGGAGGTCCCTGGTGACTCTCCCTGGCAGATGGTTCTGGTCTTCTGAACAAACGAGCTGGGAGGTGTCTGCCAAAGTAGCCCTGGTGGGAGCAGATTCTGAGGATACAGTCTGCTCTGGGGGCCAAGTCGCAGCCTGTGAACAGAGGGAAAATAAATTAATGGTCACATTTATTTAGTCTGCTTCTTTCCCTTTCATGCTTCATCCTGTTCTTGGACCCTTGCCCCGTAGATGGGTTTGGGCTGCTGTAGTTCTGCTGTACGTGAAAGCCTACCTCACCAAAAAGGGATCTTGTTTCCTGCAGCATGAATTACGGAGCTGAGGACTCCAGTAGTCCACAACTCCAGGAGTAAATCCCTTGCAGTTTGTGCCTATGAAATGGAAGCAAAGGAGGATGTCATCCCCCTGGAAATGGCTGGGCACACCCTTTTTCTTAACACTGTCATTATGTGCTTATTTGCAGTAGCATCCATGGAAAAATTAAGAGGAAACAGAGTTCCTGTTCTAAGATATCCCATATAAACACTAACAGAAAAGCTGGCTGAGGTAAGTAAACAGCAAACAAGTTTGCTGGTTTACTCACAAGTTAATTTTCACTTAAACAGCATTTCAGGTTTGAAAGTGAAAGAGTTGATTGAATGGTAAACAATAAGGGTAGGTCAGTTCTCCCGTACCATATGGATTTGTTTTACCCTTCATTCAGCACTGGTGAGGCCACACCTGGGGTGCTGTGTCCAGGGCTGGGCTCCCCCAGAACAGGAGAGACACAGACATACTGGAGAGAGCCCAGCCAAGGCCTCGAAGGTGTCTGAGGGACTGGAGCATCTCTCGTGTGAGGAAGGGCTGGGAATGCTGGGACTGTTCAGCCTGGAGAAGGCCCGGGGGGATCTTATCAGTGTGTGTAAATACCTGAAGGGAGGGTGCAGAGAAAATGGAGCCAGGCTGTTTTCAGGGTTGCCCCGTGGCAGGACCAGAGGCGACGGGCACAAACACAGGGGGTTCCCTCTGAACATCAGGGAACGCCGCCTTAGTGTGCGGGTGCCAGAGCACTGGCAGAGGTTGCCCAAAGAGGCTGTGGGGTCTCCCCCCCTCGGAGTTATTCAGCAGATGTGGCCCTGGGCAGTTGGCCCTGCTTGAGTGGGGGGCATGGACCAGGTGGCCCCCGGAGGTCCCTTCCCACCTCAGCTGTTCTGTGACTGTGACGTTGTAGTAAGCTGAGCTTGTTCCACCATTTCAGTACAGCCAAATGCAACACTGATCATCTAGGACCACGGATCACACAAGTTATTAATTCTCACAGTAAATTCCTCTGTGACCAACAGGGACCTTCAGTAGTCATGGCAGGTAAAACTGTGGGGTGAGGGGGGACTGTTAGTGAAGAAAACCACACAGGTAGAAAAGGAAGTTGCTTTTGCTTCCACCAAAGAGTGGAAAAGGGGTGAGCTGGGGAGGAGCCATGGAAAGCTGCAATAACTGAGTCTGGAAAAACCTGCCCGAGGGCAGGGAATCGAAGCCTTCTTTAGTTTATTCGAGAGGCAGCCAAGGCAAAATGTGCTCATAGTCTGCACCTCTATGAAAAGGTTCCCATTGCTAATAGAAATCATTATGAAACTATGCAATTATGGAAATTAAATCTAGTGATGTTTAAAAGGCAGAATGCTAGCAGAGACAGGGTCATGACAGAGCAAAGGAGGGTACAGCTCCATGATTTGGTTTCTTTAAGCATCTGAAAATGCATGCTGTGGCTTTGTGGTTTCCAAAGGTCAGCCCCCCAAACACGGACATGCCACACATCTGGACCTCTGTGGCCACACCTCATTGAGGGGCTAAACGTGTGGGGAGCTGCTGTCCTCCCCCTCCCAGAGCTGCTTCTCTGCATCGAGCCAGAGGTGGGCACCACAAGACCCCAACTTGAGGTCAGAAAAGTTAAAACAAGAAGCAAAACCTTTCAGCCAGATTACTTATAAATCTGATTTTTCCCTTTTTCAGTTTGAAAAACTTTTGACTGAAGTCCCTTAAAGCCTCACTAATGCTCACAATAGCTGCCTGAAGTGCATAACGTTGCTTTTTCTCATGATCATGAACTAACCTTATAACCAGTCTTGTGGACACTTACTACAAAAAGCATTTAATCTTCTCAGCACTACATTTCCCTCCACGTGCCACTGCAGTATCTTGTTCCCTCACCTTACAGAGGCTCTTGTAACGTTTCATCCATCACAGACTGGACAGGAGCCGTCTGTGCCTCTCACTCCGGCAGAAGGCACCAGATCTGGAAGGGATCTATTCCGTTCTGTGCTCCCTTGCTCTCTGAGCTGATCTCTCACTTTTATTCTTACTTCTGTCCATTTTCATCCTCAAAGTGACCGAGTTTGCTTCTCGCAATATTTGCTATTGCTCTATCTTGTGTGTTTTGCTTGGCCAGCAGAGATGTGGCTCCACTCTGCAATCTGCAGCTGAAACTTTCCCTGCAGCGTCCCTGGCAGCTGATTGTTATTCCAGGAGGTTCAAGAAAGACAACAGAAAAGCAAAAGTATTTGAACACAGAATTATGGCTGATAATCCCATCTGTCAGACAGCCTTTACCTTGTCCTTGTCACAAGTCTCCTGATCACTCTGTGTAAGACCAGAGAAGCCACTTCCTAATGATCGCTGATGCTACAAGCAAGCAAAAAGTCTCAAACACCAAAGGAAAAGCTATTGGTTTATATATAGATATATATATATAGATATATACTGTGTTTACAGAGTCAACAAGTTAAATGCAATATTCATAAGAGCATTAACAATAAAAATACAATCTGTGTGTAGCCAAGTACAGACTTAAAATGGTAAAACAGGAAAAAGGATCTCACCAAAAGTACAAATATACAGTACAAATTGATTTATTTAAAACAGTTACAAAAAAAGCACAACAAAATAGAGATTATCCTTAGAATTATTAATGCTTTGTTAAAGATCAGGTAGGAGGAAAGGGGCAGGAAGAGGGTTGGGGGGGAGCACCTGACTAGTTCTAAGGCTTTAGATACAATGCGGTCGGTTACATGTTAATACAGCCATTACATAACTGGGGTTATAGTTGAGGGATCAGCACTTATCTACAAAGACCTCCTTGCCTCAGGGCAGCCCAGACGCTTCCCCAGTGCCACGCTCTGCTCCTCTCCCCTGGCCCTAAGGTGCCATCAAAGCGGGAAACAAGAACGTGCGTGGGTGCATCTGCGGGGCGGCAGCGGCCCAGCAGGACCAGGGGCGAGTCCTGCCCCCCCCCCCC